TCCACAGGATATTCAGTGCTCTTTTTCAATAGCATAGCTCAAAGGCATCAATTCCTTTTCTGTCATCTTTGTTCATTGTCTAGGTAGTGGATGCATAGCTAGTATGCATTGAAAGACTATGGCCTGAATCAGATGCATCTTAGTCCTCAAGCTGACATCAGTACTTCTCAATAATTTGGAAAGGTACCAAACTGCAGATTTTCCCAGTGCAGTGTATCCCCTTATTACCTGACTGCTGGTACAAAGGATAGTAATTGTAGGTCAAAGCAAGATGATGCTGTTGACAGTTTTAATCTCCTTTCCATCCATCATGACACTGCCTAGCAGTCCAGTGGTAAGAATCTTTGTTTTCTTGATGTTGAGATGCAATCCATACTGAAAGTTGCACTCCTTGATCTGCAACAAGCGCTTCAAGTAGTCTTCACTTTCAACAAGTAAATTTCGAGGACAGCTATCTGGCCAATAGATTGGAAGATGTCCATATTTGTTCCCATTCCCAAGAAGGGTGATACAACTGAATGTGGAAAATATTGAACAATATCATTGATATCACATGAAAGCAAAAAACTTCTCAAAATCATTCAAAAACATCTGGAACAGTACATAGACAGGGAATTGCCAGAAGCTCAAGTGGGGATTTAGAAGAGGCCGTGGCACCAGGGATTTCATTGCTGATGTCAGATGGACCCTAGCTGAAAGTAAGGAATACCAGAAGAATGTCTATTGTGTTTTATTGACTATGCAAAGGTGTTTGAATCTGTGGATCATGACAAGTTGTGGCTGACATTGAGAAGAATTGGAATCCCAGAGCACTTGATTGTGCTCATGAGGAGCTTAAACCTGGATCAGGAGGCTACTGTGCAAATGGAGCAGGAAAACACTGCATGGTTTGGAATTGGGGAGGGAGTGCATCAGGGTGGTATTCTTGGAATGTGGAGAGTCAGTGAAATGGAGGAAGACCCTTAATGACATAGGTTTATCACTGACTGAAGCAAGGGGTCAAATATGTCAGAGATGATGAGGATGGCACAGAATAGGACAGGGTTTAGAACTCTTGTTCATAGGATTGTGATGAGCCATACTCTACTTGATGATAGCTAACAACAATTGTAGTTTGTTTCTAAATGAGAAGGAATTTAAAAACAGTCCAGCTTTATGTCCTTTCTGTAATATAACATCTGATCATTTGGAATAGCATATAATGAAAGCAAAATTTAGAAAATATACCAGCATGCCTCAATGTGTAATATATTCTGGAAAGGCAGAGAATCCATACTATTTATTCCCTTTGGTTTGCTAAATGTTTTATGGTATGTGTGAGCCATAATCCCCTTTGAGGATAAGCACATACATAGGGGGGAAAGGTGCCATTGTGGACAGCAAATTATACTCTGAAACATTTTTAACAGTTTCTTAGTTGAAAACCTTGGATCTATGTATTTAAATTCAAGACAGTAGATAAAAGCTGTACAAAAAGATAACCATTGTGACATTAGTTCAGTATATTTTCATTTCTTTCAGGTGTTTATGATTTATGCCTTTCTTACTCTGTGGACTAGCTCTGGTGATCCTGTGGTTAAGGTATCTGTTACTAAACAAAAAGTTGGCAGTTTGAACCCTCCAGCCTTTCTGTGGCAGAAAGATGAGGCAGTTGGCTTGAGTATATCCTTAGAGTATTGGAAACTCTAAGGGGACAGTTTGATTTTGTCCCGCTCCCTATGAGTTGGTATCAACTTGACTGTAGTCAGTTCATTTTTCCATTCTTTGCCCTGTGATCAGTGTTATACATTTAGATTGCAGAAGAATGATTTCTTGTGTAAGTTTCAGCATAGACAGGTCTGTAACCTGTCACATAAAGAAAGTGTTGTCATACAGTAGATCAGTCAATTTAAATACAAAGGAATACAATGGCATGACCAAGAAAGACAGGCAGAGAACACAGCAAGAGAGTGACAGCAAGTGACAAAGGGGGAAAAAACCCCACAACCCAGAATACTCTGTTAAGAGTTAGAAAACACAAAATCATACATAGTTTTAGGTATTTATTAACTTTTAAAACATTTTTAATTGTGATTTTAGTGAACATTTACAAAGAGCTTAATTTTTATTCATTCATTAATACTTATTTCCCCTCTTCCCTTTCTCCTGTTTCACTTTGCAAGGCTTAATCTGTTGAAGATTGTTAATTGTCTAAATTCGTGTTTCTTCACATCTTCTACTTTATACCTCCTTATCCTATTTGGATGATTCACAGTCATTTAAGCTACAGCAGCCTTGCAACAATAGCTTGAATATAATACACTCAGGAAAGTGCATGTTCTCTTCAGAGACTTCATAATAGAAATGTTTTTCATCACAAGAGAAATATAAACAACCCAATCCCCAAATGGGCACAGAATATGAACAGATACTTCACCAAAGAAGACAATCAAATGATGAACAAACACATGAAGAAATGTTCAAAATCCCTAGCTTTAAGAGAGATGCAAATCAACACTACTATGAGATATCATCTCACCCCATTAACAATGGCAAAATTCAACAGAGCAATACACAACAAATGCTGGCGAGGTTGTGGAGAAACTGGAACCCTTATTCACTGCTGGTGGGAGTATAAAATGTTGCAACCACACTGGAAGGCAGGGTGGTGCTTTCTCAAAAAGTTGGAAATAGAAATACCATTTGACTCAGCAATTCCACTACTGGAAATATACCCTAAAGAAACCAGAACTGCCATCAAAACAGACATATGCACAACTATGTTTATTGCTGCGTTGTCACAGCGGCAAAGAGATAGTAACAATTCAAGTGCCCATCAATAAACAAATGGGTAGAGAAGCTGTGGTACATTCACAAATGGAATATGATGCAGCAGTGAAAAAAAAGGAACTAATGAAATATTATACAAAATGGGGACCCTGGAGGACATCATGCTGAGTGAAATATCACAGTCACAAAAGACCAAATACTGCTTAATGCCACTGTTATAAAACAAGACTGACATGGGGGTTGGGGAGAAACGAAGAAAAGAGGGGATAAATAATGTACACTAAATTGAAATAGATGAGGGAAAGAACTGTATAAAAGGAATATATGACTATGTATTATCTGCATGACAGCAGTCCAGATAAGAGCTGCATAGCAAAGAGGACTT